AGTTACCAGTAAATTAGAGACAAGACTCAAATTTTCCAGTATCTGAGGTCAAAGCCAGGACAAGCGACAAATATCAAAATCATTTCATTATGACAAGGTGTATACAGTCTGGCATAGCCATCCATAGGGCAATGGAAGTTTATTCCAAAGAAAAAGCTTCTGGCACACTAGGAACAATTCCAGTTTCCATCTGCTTCCTAATGTGATTAGTGACAGCACTCTAGCTTTCTCTCAGAGCTGTCCCAGGTTAGACAATAAGTTAAACAGCCATTGGTGAATAGTAAAACCAAATACTGGTGGTTCAATTTGTAATCTTGCAACTCATCAGGATGAGATCTGAAGATCTCAGTTCCACGCCAGCCTGGGTAGTAAAGTCCATGAGATTCTTCTCTCCAGTTAACTATTAAAAAGCCAGAAGTAGAGCACTGTGGTTCAAGTGGTAGAGAAACCCTTCAGTGAAAAAGGTCAGGGACAGTGCTCAGACCCTGAAGGACTGCAGTAAATAAATAAATAAATAATAAGTTAAACCAGGCTCTTGTGTCTCATACCTGTAATCCTAGCTACTTTGGAGGCAGAGATCCAAGGATTACAGTTTGAAGCCAGCCAAGGCAAGAAAGTATAAAGTCTGTGAGACTCCAAATAACCAAAAAAAACATCCAAAAAAGCCAGAAGTGGCTGTGGCTCAAAAGTGGTAAAGTGGTAAAGTATTAGCCTGGACATCTCATGCCCTAAGTTCAAGCCCCAGGACAGGCATAAAAATAAGTAAATAAAAGCTAAAAGTAGAAACATAGAGCACCAGCCTTGTGGTGGAATTCAGAGCCAAGGCTCTGAGTTCAAGCTCCAGTATAAAAACAAAACTAAGTAGCAATAAAAGATAATAATAAAATAAATATAAATGTAAAACAATAAATAAATTAAATTTCAATTCTTCGACCAAAATTTAGAGAAAACGTGTTAGTAGAGGTACAAAAATCCAAGAATGTTCTTTCATATATCTGTTCTGCTTGTGTCCTAAGTTGAAAGATAAAATTAGCTAGAATTTCAAGATGGCATTGAGCATTAAGCCAAGCCAGGGCCTTTCTGAGCTCAAAGCCCTGCGCTCCTATACAGGATGCACACCCTTGACAGATCCTGAGTCTGTCCTTTCTCTGTCCACCCAAATAGGTCTGTGATCTTAGCATGCTGTATCACCGGACTGCAAACAGGAAACAGGCCGCAACCTTCTATCGTCCAGACTTTGGACATTAAATTGTGGATATTCAACCTATAAAATCATCTCTTAAGAGGAAATGTTTTAAAATTTTTATATCTCAAGTAAAACAAGAAGCAAATTAGGTCACTCTTTATCATCTTCTCGATGTTCTAAAAATAATTTATCTCAATGACATACCCTACCCATGATCTCAGATGAAAACACTAAATAGATGAATTAAAGTTCAATGCATTAGAAAGTCTTTGAAATCTCGATTCCTGATTTTAGTCAAGTTTCTGATTTCAAAGCAGGTACCATATGCTTAATTTGAAACTTTTTGTTCTGTAAATCCACATGTGAGTTAGAAAAGCTAAAGAAATCTAAGATAAACTGGGTGAGAAAAGGAAATTCAATTTTAAGGATAACTGGGGTACTATCTTTTTAAAATGAGAAGATAGAGGATGAATCGATTCATCAATTTATTCCTTCATTTAACAAGCGTTTATCAATCACTTACAATGTCACAAACACTACACAAAATTCTAGGAAAACCCAGGCAAGCAAGACACAGCCTGGGCCTCAAAGACTTATGCTCTAGTACAACAAAACAGAGGGAAATAAATCAACTACTTTAGCTGCCAGAAGTAAACATGGTATAGAATTAGGTACAAAGCACCATGGGAGAAAGAGCAGCTGAGTCTTAAAAAACCAGTAGGGATCCACCAGATATAGTAAGCAAGCCCCTCTCAAGAAGTAAAAGGGAATCTCAGTAAGGTAGTCCAAGCTTGTAATCCAAGCACTGGAAAGCTGAGAAAGGAGGATGGTCAGTTCAAGGTCAGTCTGCACTGTACAATGGGACTCTGATAAATGGAAAAAGGCAGGGGCTAGGAAGGTAGCTCAGTGGTAGAGTGCTTGCCTTGCATGCATGAGGCCCTGGGTTTGATTCCTCAGCACCACCTAAGCCAAAAAAGCTGAAAAGTGGAGCTGTGGCTCCAGTGGTAGAGCGCTAACCTTGAGCTGAAGAGCTGAGGGGCAGCGTCCAGGCCCAGAGATCAAGCCCCACAACCAACAAAAAGAAAAAGAAAAAGGCAGAAGCCTGAGACCAACATAGCCTACCATAGGAAGAGCAAACCACTCTAAGTAAAAACAGCTATCTTAAAGCACAAAGCTTTTCTCAAACAAGTAAGGTGTTAGGTAGAATGACGCTGTGCAAAGCAGATAGAGGAAATTGGTGATGCTATGGACTTCGGGGGGAGGGAGGAGGAATAGGACAAAATGTTCTTTTTAGAATTAAGAACAGAGCACTCTAAATTTTAAGATATCATCCACTGTGGTCCTATGCTCTTTGATTTTTGGTGCCAATCCTGGGGCTTAAACTCGTGTCCAACTGTCCCTGAATATTTTTTCTCAAGACTGCCACTCTCCTGCTTGAACCACAGCTCCGCTGCCTGCTCTTTGGTAGTAAATTGGAGATAAGAGGCTCACAAACTTTCCTGCCTGGGCTTCTTTGAATTGCAATCCTCAGATCGCAGCTTCCTGAGCAGTTTACAGGCATGAACTATCCACACCCAGCTTCCTGTGTTCTTTTAATCAAGAGAAATAATAGCAGTTGGGTCACTTATTTGTGTTTAAGAAAAATTACATTTTTGGTAAAACTAAGAATATGTTTTCTACCTCCTCCATGTTCTAATTATAAGCCATCCTTCATCCATGTCAAGCAAGGCCAAGGTAATGACCCAATTCTAAAAAGATGACTCTCATGCAAATATTTAAATTTGACTTAGTTTTTTTTTTGCCCTATCAATTTTACCACTCCACTTGTTTAATGCTGTGGCTGTTTCGTTTCTAAATAACTTTTATTGTTTGTCTCTACTTCTGATGGCTCCCTTAGAAGAGGTTCCTAGAAGAGAAACTATCAGGCTTGAAGTTGATTTAAACTCCTGGTAAAAGAGACCAATATGAAAACTAGTCTGACTATAAGTGAACAAGTGAAACTAAGAAGGAATTAAATGTTGCTATAAATAATTCCCCAAAGAGCTAATAATAATAATGTATTGTTGGCAGGTCATAGTTTATGAATGATGATGACCAAGAGCAAATCTTTGTTTCAGACAACATTCAGGTCAAGCAACTGCGTTTGTGTGCAAACATGAAATACAAATAATAGACAATGAAAAGGAAAAGCAGAAGAGTTCACAATTTCTAAATAATGAAAAAGAAAGACACAATAATATTTTTCAATTGTAATAATCAGGTGTTCAGATTCATGGGAAATTAACATAAATAAAGATCGACAAATCAGTTTTAAGGATAGATTAGATTGTCTAGTTCTGCAATTTAGCATGTGCACTGTACCTTCTCCATCTCTTTTCAGAAAGTACTTTAAGAAATGACTCATTCTGCAAAAGTTAGAGAACTTTATTACCAAGGGAATCTCACAAAAGCCAAATTTGAAACTACTAAAAGTTAGAGCTTTTTTAGAACCTGTTGTTTTCAGAGTCCTTTACTCCACTGGGTATACAATAATCCTATGTTTCATCGATATCAAGATATCCCCCAATAACTACACCTTTTCGAAGAAAGTAGTCCTGAAGACTCAGATACACTGATTTTGAGAAGTTAATCAATGCATCTGACATCACAGGAGACCTCTCCTTGTCACAGCCAAGTGAATTTCCTCTAGCATGACTGTAAGCATTCTAGAGGATTGTATAAAACTGTGCAGGAAATTCAGCATTTGAGACATTCCCTTCAGTCCAAAGGGCCGTGGAACTCAGTGAAGGAAGCGGAGGTTAGAGGATTCCACCGACATTAAAGATGCCAAGATGCCTAGGTCTCAGAGTGCTGCTCTTCCAGGCATCCGGATGGACAGAAGCCAATCCTCAATATATATATATATATATATATATATATATATATTTTATTTTTTACTTTTCACCAGTGAACTGGGAATATTCTCCGTTTGAGTGTGGCCCCAGAAGTTAATTTCCCTCGGTTTTGCTGCCTCCCTGGCCCCCAACAAACACAATGAATGAAATATTTTCAAAGCAGACTTCCAGTGGGATACTCTGAAAGCTGAAAACAAAGTTGGTGCCCAGTTCTACGAAATCCCAAAGTTGCTAGACCCGAGTCTGATCATTCCACTCCCAAGGACTCCTCTGGGAGCAGAGTGGAGACTGCAGGGCTAGGTCTGGGTGAGCCTACAGATGGCTTTAATATCCAACAGCTGGGCTAGATCACAACCCCTCTGCTCCTTGCCTACTCCCCCCTCCCCATCCCAGAATCCGAGGTCCCCACGATTATTTCAACTCAAGGGACCCTCTAAATAACGGACACATTCAGAGATTTTTCTCTTTTCACTACAGGTTCCATTGAACGGTAGTAGGCTCGGACCCTTCATCACCGAACCAAAGCAGACCAACTCCCCAAGGGTAGAGAAAAAAAGAAAACAAATGGCCCCAGGCGATTCGCAAGCCGAAGGCGGATTTTAAGGGGAAAAAGGGAGGGAATAAGTGAGGAGAAAGACGGGGCCACCCAGCGTCCCGGGACGGAGAGCGCTCTGCGTCCCTCTCTCGGGGCTAACTTTTCTGCCTTCCAGGCTTGGGCCAGTTAGCCACCTCCAGGTCCCAGGGCCGCGGGATGGAGCTAGGGGTCCTTGCACGCAGCATCTCGGCATGGCTGCGCGGGTTCGGGCACCAGCCGTGCCCCCCGTCACTCCGCCCCGGAGCCGGCGCAGACAATGCCACGCGCGCTTCCCGCGCCCGCGGCCCCCGGGCTGCAGCGCGGGGGGGCCCCCCGCGCCACTCACCGACACCAGGAACTCCAAGGTGCCCACGTAGTCGCGCTCGGTCTTCTGCAGCTCGCTGAGCACACACACGCGCAGGCGGAGCTGCTTCTCCACGTCCTTGGCGCTCTCGGCGCGGCCGTCCCCGCGGCTCTCCTCGCTCATGGTGACCGGCCGGCGCGGACCCCGGGACCCGCGGATCCCACCGGTGCTGGGAAAGGAAAGTTGCCGCCTTTGCAAAGTCGGGCCCGACCGGCGACTTTTACATGCTGAAGAGAATCTGGGGCGGGGGTGGGAGGGAGAGGAGGGCGCCGGGGGGCGCTCGGGCTGCAACCCTGGCGCAGCCGGCGAGGCGCGGGGCGCAGCGCAGGACACTCCCCCGGGAGCGGCTCCCGCCCCGGCCTCACGCGGCCCCGGCCCGAGGGGAGGCGGCCTCTTCAGTCCCAGCGGGGACTTGGACATTAATCAAATGCTTTCTGTCCATGTGACTCCGACCCTTTACCCTTCGCCAGATCTCAGGAAAGAGGAAACACAACCCTGGGGGAAGTGTGTAGTGCCAGCTAGCTAAACACACACACACACACACTCACACACACGCAAGCACGCTCAGCACTCGGGGTTCCCAAACCTAGAAGGACAGACACACTCCCAGACAGCTCCAGGGCTGCTCCTGAGACTCCAGCCCATTGTAGCTTTTAATGTGTTTTGCACAAATCCTGGAAGCAAAGAAACTAGTCCCCACGGTTACATAACTGGACGGGAACAAAAACAACCATGGTTTTGACCCTCCCACCTTTTGAAAGAAACACATTGGGTTTGGGTTTTCTTCTTTGAGAAAACAGATTTTTTTTTTTAAAGCACACACACAACTATTTCACCCTTCAACCCTTGTCTGTGTTTGAAAAGTCAATTAGCATAATAAATGATAGCATAGGAAAGGGATAGCCCTTGCTCATACAATAAAATCCAGATGAATAAGTATCCACAACCGAATTGTGCTGTTTAGACAGCTCCGTAGGTCCAGAAAGTTTTCCACATCTACATAGTACACAGAATCCAGACAAGGGTACTGTTCCCATTTTGTCTCTAAGAAATGCTGTGATTTGAAAAGGCAAAGCTGTAATACTGAGAGACGCAGAGAGGATAGAGGATACATAGATGACAGATAGGCAGGTAGATGGTAGGTAGATAGATAGATAGATAGATAGATAGATAGATAGATAGATAGATAGATAGATAGATAGATAGATAGATAGATAGATAGATAGATAACCTTAGATTGGGGATATGGAAAATGATGGAGCATTCTTGATCTTAATGTTTATATTTACTGTCTTTTCTCACCTGGAAAGGGAGCCCAAACCTAACAAATACCAAAAAATTTAACTCTCAATCCATATACAGTTTTAGCTAGCTATTATGCATGACTTTTTTTCTCTATGGGACAATTTCACATAGTCCACAAAGTAGTATGTTAACTTGTTCCCAAGTCTAAAGCATCAGCCAAAGTAAATTATGAGGATGCTCACCTAAGTATTTACTGTGAAATAATTATGATGTTTGCAGCTGATGTATTTTCCAGTGAGAGGAAAAAGAGTTAGACTTTCTGTCTTACACTACAGATTTGTGTGTAGAGCTGTTGGCATAGAAGCACTTCTCCCTCTTGCTTTTGCATATAGCTATTTGAACACAGATGGCTTCACACCCAGTAGCAGAAGAACAAAGGGCAGCACACATGAAAGCACAGACAACCCCCACCCCAGCACCTGATAAACAATAAACAAAAGAAGTGGAAGACACAGGAGGCATGCATCCAGCAGTGAATGGGAAACTCAAACATGACTAGAACTTCTCAGTGGACCCAGGCATCAATGAACGTATTTCTTCCTCCCAGCAGCTGCCTGATCCTCAATGAAAAAGCTAAGTTAATAAAATGGCTTTCCACAGATGTTCTAGAAAAAAAAAATTTCCTCTAAAAAACAATGACTCACATAATTTCCTTTTATCCCAACATTTAGTCCATACATAAGTCACCAGAACTGACATCTCACCTCCAAGCAGTAATGTAGTCAAGTCTGAATCACTGTAACCTAAATCCCAGGCCAGAGGCCAGAGGTAAGCAGAAGTAATGGTGAAAAGGTAGGATTTTCATCAACACAGCTATGTTGGGGTGATGAACAAGATTAGGAATCTCAGCCCACCTACATTGTACTCACAATGAGCTTTATTTACTAGAGGAGAATTGGGGCAGGAGGCAGAGGTTTGCATGAATAATCAGTCAAAGTGAGGCCTCATTGACCTTAACCTCAGTTCTAGTTCTGTACAGAGGTCCCAGTCCCTTATCACTTGAGGAGATAGATGATGCAGTTCCATTGAGATGATGGCTCCTACCTGGGGCGTTCTCATCATGAGCTGATCTCTCTGCAAGGCTTTGCAGGACCTGGAATCCATGGTGACTGAAAGTTTAGGACAATGACTAGAGGCTTTCAGGTCCTTTGCCGGGGAGAAGGTATCTGTAACAGAATATTGTAAAGGCTGACAGTGTGATTTTTTAGTTAGTCATCTCTGAACCTTCAGCCTTGAGGATGAATGAGATAGTTGTGTAGCACCAGTTTTTAGACAGTATTTGAGTAACTACAGAGCTAAGGAGGAATCTGACCCCAAAGTGCTTTTGTATGCCAATATTGGTGAATTTTACTGGAAGGTATTTTATCAATCAACTTCTACTGATGCAATTTAATTTCTCAATTATTACACAGACTATAATATATTTCAGTACATTTTAAGAGCAGGAAAACTGCACTTCTGTCCTCTCAGGGTTGTGACTAAGACTGAGAATTATATTGACACAAGATAGATAACAGGAGAAAAAATACAACTTTTAAAATATAAGTTTTTGGGTGCTGGGAAGGTAGCTCAGTGGTAAAGCGCTTGCCTTGCATGCCTGAGGCTCTGGGTTCGATTCCTTAGCACCACATAAGCAAAAAGAATAAAGCCGGAAGTGGTGCTGTGGCTCAAGTGGTAGAGCGCTAGCCTTGAGCTGAAGAGCTGAGGGACAGTGCCTAGGACCAGAGTTTAGGCCCCACGACCGGACCCCCCCCCCAAAAAAAAATATATATATATATAAGTTTTTGTTTGTGCTTTGGTTTGGTGTGTGTGTGTGTGTGTGTGTGTGTGTGTGTGTATGTGTGTGTGTATGTGCCAGTACTGGGGCTTGAACTCCAGGCCATTGTACCCACACACGGCCTTTTCCCTCAAGGATATCATTCTACCACTTGAGCCACAGCTCTACTTCTGGAGTTTTGTTGGTTGCTTAACTGGAGATAGAGTCTCAAAGATTTTTTTGTTCTGTATGGGCTGGCTTTGAACCAAGATTTTCAGATAGCCTCCTAAGTAGCTAAGATTACAGGTCGGTGACACTGGCACCCAGCTTAATGTGGTTGTGGTTGTTGTTGCTTTTTGTAGTATGTATCCCAAAGTTGTAAGACAGAGGGGACAGATGCAAAATCAAGGTAGGACTGTTGAATTTTATCCTACTTCTAGTTACCTTGTGGGCCCATCACAAGAGGAGACAGCCTCCCAGTTTCTATTAAAAAAAAGCACACATGAAAAGCATTTCAAGAGGTCTCACAGCAAAGAGAGTCCCATAGGTAGAAGTTCAGCCATGTTTTAATTTAGCAGAACAGGAAAAAAGTAGGAAGAAAAGAGAGGAGAGAAAAAAAATACCACCTGAGAAGAATAGGTGTGAGAGTCTATCTGAAAAATGGCAGCCCTTTTTGGAGTCTCTGCTCTGAGCTGATGAGATATACATTATTGTGTTGATATCTAGTAACCCCTAGGTGACATCCAAGGATTCCTCATTCCATCTTACCTCAGGCTCAAATGGGGGATCACTATGATTGTTTGTTTAGCAAAAGCAGTTTCTAAGTACCTGTCATGTCATCCATTGGGTCTCACCAATCTGAAGCATTGTTTTTGCTACACAAATATCTATGAGGAACCTCCATGAACACTGCTTAGTGTTAGGACCTAACCACCTTGGAGACTCTAATCTCTGCACAAATTCTTCTCAAGCTGAGTTATAGAGCATTGCACTACACTCACTTGAGCTTTTGTTAAAATGAATATTCCTAGGATCACCTCAAATTTATTACGTATATCAGACATCATTATATTCTTTCAACAAGGTCCTGAGGTTATTCTTAGAGTCACTAACGTTGGAGAACCACCATCTAAAATCTTAGCATTGAATAGGGGAGGTCACAAGTATAAGTAGCTTTCTAAACAGCCATACTGCAGTCAGATGCCAGTGGCTCACTTCTGTAAACACTGAACCTAGTCAGAAGGCTAAGATCTGAGGATTACAGTTCAAAGCCAGCCCAGGCAGGAAACTCTGTGAGGCTTTTATCTCCAAGTTATCACCCAAAAGCCAGAAGTGGAGCTGTGGCTCAAATGGCAGAGTGGTAGCATTGAACAAAAAGTTAAGGGAAGTGCAATCCCACCATTGGCATAGAAATAAAAATAAAAACAAAGAAAAAAATATGTCATGGTACAATGAATGCTTCACAAATAAATTAATTAATAAAAGATCAATAAATGAAAAATAAATTATGTAAGGTAGGTGGAAAGATATTTTAATGGTGCAGATTCAGATTTCCCTCAGCAGGGCCTGTGTTGAAACTATTTTTTGTATTTCTGAAACTATATTTGTATTTCTGTCCACTCTTCTGCTTCAGTATCATTGGTAATTAATGAACAACTCCAGGACACCATGTAGCACCTTCTGCCAAGCGCCTCTCAGATTCCTCTGTAGCCCTGGCTGGAGTCCTTAATTCCTCATCAAAGACAGAAGAGCATAAGAAAACAGGACTGAAGTATCTGGAAACTTTCACTTTGATGGTAAATAAGGTCTTTCATAACCTCTGAATGTGTTGTATCCCTTCCCACTTCCTCTATTGAAACTCTAGGCCCAGTCTGCCAGGAAAAGGAAAGCACCAACCAAGAGGATAGACAACATCCAGTTTGTTGTTGTTGTTGTTGTTTTTTCCTTGAAATATTAATGAGGTTGAAAACTCCAATACAGAAAAGAAGATAGAGAAAAGTGGCTGAGTAATAAACTAGTTCAGCCATTAAAATTATTTCGTATGCATAAACATGGTGTGGTTAGAATCCATTATCGGAAGGTTCAAAGAGCCCAAGTACAGAGCACAGTAGGTTTCCTTTGGTCAAACTCAGAGA